CCCGTATCCCTGGTGCTCTCGGGTGGACATCTTGTTTTAACATTAGATCCCAGCATCCTGGGACAAGCTGTCCTCCTAGCATCTGATGGATAAGTTATGCTCCAGAGTGGGGTGGATGACACAAGTGACAGCTATGACTGCAAGAATGCAGCAGGGAGGGCAAAACATGCTGTGATCCTCCCCAGGGCAGCAAAAATACAGCACCCCATGCTGGGAAGGAGAACTATACAGGGAAGGCAAGTCGTCTGTGTGGCTTTTCAAGGAAGCTGCTACGATTCAAGTTTACATGGGATAACCTGACCTTGGGGATCAGGCTGCCTGGGGGAGCAGGATCTGACTGGCTGGCACAGGGTCCCTTCGGCTTGTGCTTGATGTGCAGGCTCATCACTGCAGAGCTGACAGATAAATACAGGGGGCATAAGCTGCTTGGTTTACAAAAGTAAATATATCCTAGTTTGCATTTGTTTGCAACCTTGCATTGCATAAACAAATGACCCAAAGTGTCTATAAATCTGCAGTTTAAGGCTCCTCCTTTCTCTGCACGCCAGCAGGTTAGCTGAGGAAGGCTGTGCTCCAGGAGGACACTCGCTGGCTTGCTCGTGCTGCAGTGTTTTGCATGCTGCTCCATCTGCTCGCTCAGGCAGCTGCAGACAAGGTCACCTCGCTGCCAGGGCTGAGCCTCCCCCTATGCGAGTGGGGCAAAGTGTCTCTTTGACCGGGATGCCCTCACCTGAACAGCAGCCAGCATGGCTTGTGATGCCAGCAGCACGCTCCCTGGCTGGCAGTTTTTCCTTTAGGTATCGATGCCAGGGGACAAAAATGAGAAATATCCCTGTCTTGGCTTATTAGACAGTGACCATGGAGGAGAGAGAGGCTCTGAGGGTGGGAACTGAAACTGTGCCCTAAGAGTGCCCTGTGACCAGCTAGATGGAAGGTCTTCCATGCACATGAGACTACAAAATGACCTTAAATGCTCCACTGTCCCCTGCCCTGGGCAGTCCGTTTTGCGGAGCCTGTGAATTCGGGATGTTCTGTTCACACACCCCTTGGACTGTTGCTTTGACGTTCTTCTTTCCTTCTAGTTTTCCATTTGTCGAGGAAGGTGACGTCCGTGGTCCCGGAGAGCTGCCTCCTCATCCTGCTGGGGCTGGGCCTTGGGGGCATCGTGTTGGCCGTGGCAAAGAAAGCCGAGTACCAGCTGGAGCCCAACATGTTCTTCCTCTTCCTCCTGCCTCCCATAGTCCTCGACTCTGGCTACTTCATGCCCAGCCGGCTCTTCTTTGACAACATCGGCGCCATCCTCACCTATGCGGTGGTGGGCACGCTCTGGAACTCCTTCGCCACCGGCATGGCGCTCTGGGGACTGCATCGGGCCGGGCTCATGGGTGGGTGCGCAGGGCCTGGGCTTGCATCCAGGTTGGGCTACAGGCTTCCTGGCTCGGGTTGCACTATGGGCTGGGTCCCCAAGAGATGGGGTAGAGGGTGCAAGGTGCCCCCATGCTGCCTCCCAGGGGGTACTGCCGCAGCAGGCTGATGCTGGCATCCCAGGAACAACTCCATGGTAGTGAGTGTCCATCAGGGCATCAAGCGGGTGGCATGAATGGGCTCTGCTTGGCACTGGGCTGACTCACAGTTTTGCTATTTTTGTCACTGACCTTGGCTAGCTCTGATGCCTTGCCTCTCCTTGCTTGAGCCACTGGTCCTGGCTAGACTGGGTTGTGTTTCAAGTTCTCTTCAGTCCAGAGCGACTGCCTCGTGCCTGGCCCTGAGATAGGGTTGTCCAGCTTTGCCCAGCTCACTTTGGTGTCTACCAGCTGGCAGTGAAACGATGATGCACTTAGATGCTGAGGGCAACATCCCAGTCCTGTTCCCCCATGTTGCAGTGAAGGCTCTTCCTGGCCTTGAGTCCCCAGTGGGGTGGAACCACTCTCTGGCTCAGCCCACTATGCTCTGAGCCGGGACGCTGGGGCCAGGCTACCAGGGGCAGGTAGTGGACAATCTTGCTTCAGTGGCCAGGCTGCTTCCCCTGGTGAAAATGGCCCTGGGGTTGGTGGTCCACTGGAGTTTGGTCCTTCTGTCCTGGCAGATCCGGGTGTCAAAGCCGAGCTGATGGATTTCCTGCTATTTGGAAGCCTTATCTCGGCTGTGGACCCTGTGGCAGTGCTGGCTGTCTTTGAAGAGGTGCATGTGAACGAGACCCTCTTCATCATTGTGTTTGGCGAGTCCCTCCTGAACGATGCTGTCACGGTGGTGAGTTGGAGCTAGGGGAACCCTAAGATGGAACCTGACATGGGTTGTGGTTGCTGGAATCCCTCGGAATAGGCAGAGGAGGCAGATTACATCCCCTAACATGAACAGACCCATGCCCTGCTCTCAGAGCCCCTCCGCTCTCCTGGCTCCAAGTGGAGGGGACAACGAGCGTGCACTTTGCCTACCGAAATGAGCTGTCCCCAGGAAGACGTGGGGCTGGCAATGCTTCTTCTGCAGGGATTGTCCTGCCTGCCACTGCTGCCTCGCTGGAGGCAGGGCCATACCCTGCCTTCTCGAAGGGATTTGTGTTGCCTGCAGGTGCTGTACAAAGTCTTCAACTCCTTTGTGGAGCTGGGCCCAGCGCACATCCATGCCATGGACTATGTGAAGGGGGTAGGTGAGTATGTGTCCCATCAGTCCCTCCATTTCTTCCCCTGGCACATGAGTGTGGCAGAGGGCATAGTCACCATCATGCAGTGGGATGGGTGCTGAATACCTGGAGCTCTTAGATACTCTATCCTGTTATGTGAATTGAGCACTCACCATCCACCAGGCCACTGGATAGTGAGTGCTCCAGCACCCAGGCAGGAACGTGGGGTTCAGCTGGCCAAGCATGCTGAGGCTGTGGGGCACAGGAGCTGGACTAACCTGCTCGTAGTGAGCCCCAAGGGTGAAAACAAGCCTTCTCCCCACAGTCTCCTTCTTCCTTGTGAGCCTGGGGGGCACGGCCGTGGGGCTGCTTTTTGCCTTCCTCCTGGCCCTGATCACGCGGTTCACCAAGCGTGTGCGCATCATTGAGCCTCTCTTCGTCTTCCTCCTGGCCTACGTTGCATACCTTGCTGCTGAGATGGTTTCCCTGTCCTCTATCCTGGCGTGAGTACTGGGATGGCCCTCCAGGGAACGGAGGAAAGTGGGGCACTGTGCTGAGCAGTGAGGAGCTGCAAGCCAACTGGCGCATCCTCCTGCAGTAGGATCACACCAGCTCCTTCTGCTCTTCTGCAGGGTCACTTTCTGTGGGATCTGCTGCAAGAAGTACGTGGAAGCCAACATCTCCCAGAAATCCCGTACCACTGTCAAGTACACCATGAAGACCCTGGCAAGTAGCTCAGAGACCATCATTTTCATGTTCCTGGGCATCTCGGCTGTGGATACCTCCAAGTGGGCATGGGATACAGCGCTGGTGCTAGGCACCCTGCTCTTCATCCTGCTCTTCAGAGCCGTGGGTCAGTCTGCCCGGCTGTGCTTTGGGCTGGTAGTGCCAGCCCTTTCCATGCCAAGAGCAGTATCCTCCAAGAGGACTGGGGCAGGAGGCCAGTCAGGGCTCCTGGCCTGGGCTTTGCCCAGTCTCCAGGAGCAGGCAGGGCTCTAACAGCATCCAAGGCTCTCTTTCCCCTTCTTCCCTAGGCGTTGTGCTCCAGACCTGCGTGCTCAACCGCTTTCGCCTCATTCCCCTGGACAGGATTGATCAGGTGGTCATGTCATATGGCGGCCTCCGTGGAGCTGTTGCCTTCGCCCTGGTCATCCTGCTGGATGGGGCGAAGGTTAAAGCCAAGGACTACTTTGTGGCAACAACCATCGTGGTGGTGTTCTTCACTGTCATTGTGCAGGTCAGGATGGGCTCTGTGCCCCTCTGCTGGTCATCAAGCGCTGACGCTAGCGCTCCCCTCTTACGCAGAGCCAGCTCGTGACGCAAAGTACTGGGCATCCTGTATGCTTGGGAAATGCCCCTCTCTCCCACAACTCAATCATCCCTGAGCTAGGCTCAGCAGGACCAGGAGGACTCAGATCTGGGCCCCAGCGTGCCTCTCTCCAAACCTCTTGCCCTTGCCTCCTCTCTGTACCAATCCTGCAGGTGCCTCTGCTAGTGTTGGCTGGGTGAGGGGCCCATGTAGGTCCCCAGAGGGCTGGGGTGGAAGAAATGGAAGTCTAGATATCTCACCTTTCACTCTCCCGTTCTTTCCCTTGTCTTTTGCTACCATTGCAGGGCCTCACCATCAAGCCCCTGGTGACATGGCTGAAGGTGAAGCGCAGTGACCACCACAAGCCCACGTTGAACGAGGAGCTGCATGAGCACGTAGGTGCTGGTGTCAGGGCTGTCCCGGCTCCCCACATTGCTGGGGCTGAGCGATTCGGGGCCTGAGCACCACTGGGCATGCTCGACCCTGGTGTGCAGGGTGCATCTCCACCATGCTCACCCTCTTCTTCCCCTTCAAGGCCTTTGATCACATCCTGGCAGCAGTGGAGGACATTGTGGGGCACCATGGCTACCATTACTGGCGGGACAAGTGAGTGTCTCACCTGGGATCCTCTCTAGGCCCACAGGTGGACAGGGGCCCTGCTGGCCACAGGGACATCCTGTATCCCTGCTGGAGGACACTCGGACAGGTGGGAAGGCCATCTATCCCTCTGTCCATCCATCTGGAAGCGCACAGTCTGGCGATGGCCTTGCTTTCATGGAGCAGACCAAGGCTGCAGAGGTGTCCCAGAGAGACACTGGGTGGGTGTGAGGGGAACAGCCTGTCTGTGGTTCAGGTTGGTGTTGCTTGCTGCAGCTCTCTGGTACCACAGGGTGGTGTCTGGTGGTAGCTGCCCCAGCGCATACCACATTTCCCAAGGATAGCCCTGTACTGGGGAATGAAGCCTGACAAGGGACCAGCCCACGTCTGTGGTTCAGGTTGGTGTTGCTTGCCGGTACCGCAGCTGCTCTGGTACCACAGGGTGGTGTCTGTGGTGTCTGGTGGTAGCTGCCCCAGGGCATACCACGTTTCCCAAGGATAGCCCTGTACTGGAGAATGAAGCCTGACGAGGGACCAGCCCAGTTAAAACCTTGGGATTGTTTTTTTCTGCTGCACCATTACAGGAAAAGCATGCAAGAAGACTGTTTCCTGGATGGGGAATGCTCCAGCTGGGAAACAATTCTGGCCCAGGTCCAATCCCCATCATTAGTTCTGCCTGTGGCTCCTTCAGGCCTGTCATGTTTCTGTCTTCCCCTTGGTCAAGGAGGAAGGGTCAGCATGTCCCCATCCATCAGCACTGTCCCCCCAGCAGTGGTCTGCCCCTGGGAACAGTCAGACTATCCACACCCAAGCTGCTTTTATCCAGCTTTGAGCTCTTGTAACCTTGCACAGGCAGAAGGCACCTGACCTTTCAGACCTACTTGCCCCTTCATGGTAGCTGAACCACCCTTGTCTTTGTCTCGTGCCAGATGGGAGCAGTTTGACAAGAAGTACCTCAGCCAGCTCCTGATGAGAAAATCTGCCTACAGGCTCCGGGATGAAATCTGGGATGTTTACTACAAGCTGAACATCCGTGATGCTATTAGCTTTGTGGACCAGGTAGCGGTGAATGGGCATGCTGCAGAAGCTGGGCCACTGGGATGGAATGGGACGGCCCTGGCACAGCCACCACAGCTGGAGGAGCCAGCTGGGTCCTGCCTAGGCCCTGGCCTGGAGCAGCAATCCCGCCTGTGCATGGCAGCACACGTCCTTTATGGCTGAGGCGTTGGAGAGCTTCCCACTGGCGCATACCACCTTGGTGAGAAGTCCAACCTGGCCTTGTTTGCAACATGGCTATGATGACAGGGATAGAGGGTGCAGATCCCATGATGGGCCTGGGGAATGGCTATTCAGGCAGCTCTTCTGAGCACAAGAACTTGGCCTGGCCACTGGAACATCTCCACAGCATTCCTCAGGAAACGTGTGGCAGCTCCTGCTGGGTGTCATATGCCAACCCAGAGTGCTCCGCCTTGCTGGCTTGAGGGCACCAGAGGAGGCTGGTGACTCGTGTGGCCCAGCTGGCTCCCCCAACACCTGCCCTGCTCTTTTGGACCCTGTAGGGTGGCCATGTGCTCTCCGCTGCCAAGCTGGCATTGCCCTCCATGCCCAGCCGCACGTCCATGTCAGAGTCGTCTGTCACAAACCTCCTGTGAGTATGAGCACCCTGAGACCCCAGCCGCCATGCAGACTAGTTTTTGCTGGTCCAGGTTGGTCCCTGCTGCCTGGCATGTTCCCTGGGCTGGCCCACACCATTAGGATGGGGTGGCCACCAGCTATGGGGTCTGCCCAGGGCAACAGTGGGTGCTGCAGCTCCATCTCACCCTCTAGGAGGGAGAGTGGCAGCGGTGCATGCCTGGACCTGCAGGTGATTGACACAGTGCGGAGCCGCCGAGACAAGGAGGATGCCGTGATGCACCACGTGCTGCGAGGGAGCCTTTACAAGCCCCGCAGGAGGGTGAGCATCTCTTGGGATGCCACAGACGGATAACTCCAAGTGCAACAGCACCCTATGTGGGAGCAGGGATGGAGACTGCTCCACGGGGCTGGCTGCTCACCCTGTGTCTCTTTGCCTCTCCCTTGGCCAGTACAAGGCCAGCTACAGCCGTCACTTCATCTCTCCAGATAAACAAGAGCGGCAAGACAAAGAAGTCTTCCGTCAGAACATGAAAAGGCGGCTGGAAACCTTCAAGTCCACAAAGCACAACGTCTGCTCTTCCAAGAGCAAAGCCAGGCTAAAGGAGAAGGGCAGGAAAAAGGCAAGTTCTCCCTGGTTTCTCATTCTTTCACTATCTTAGCTATCTAGCCTCCCCCAGGTTGTGGGCAGTGAGGTCCTTTCATGGGTAGACGAAGCGCTACAAGGCACTGGCATCTCCAAAACCACGTGGGTGCCGTGGGGTACTTGTTCCCTGAGTAAAGGGGTTATGAGTCCTGGACAACCTGCCACAGCAGCTAAAAGTGTGTTTGCAAAGTGCACTCCACGTATAGTGGCCTGAATGCTGTTGCAGGTCTTGGGGGAGAGGCCCAGAGTGTGATACTGCTTCTTGAGTGTCTGCCACATCTGAAGGCTTCTGAAGCTGTTGCAGCTGGGCTGTTTATTACTGAGCCATGAAGGGGCAAACTGTTGGCATGCTGGGAAGTCTCCTTGGAGGCTACTGTGGTCTGCGGGGCTGTCTGGGGATGGGCTTGCATGGGACAGGGCCCAGACACTGCCTTTTCCTTCACAGAAGGGCATCTCTGTGACCAGCGATTCACCCAACGAGAAGACACAAAGAAATGTCTCTTGGCAGGAGGCAGGTAAGACCAGAAGGCTGGCAAGATGACTCTCCAGGAGCTAGTCTGCACATCCTGGCAAGGGAATCTTGCTGGGCCAGTTGGGATGGGATGGGATATGCTCACTGCCTCACTGCTAGCTTGGTGGTAGGACAGCACCCCAAGCTGGGCTGGCAGCAAGTTCTTCTCTCATGAGTGCTGGCTCCCTTGAGGGTTAGCTCGCAGGGTGTCCCGTTCTTCAACCGTCCCCTCCGACATCTGGCTGCAGCTCCTGTCTTGGTGATGGTCAGCTCGGATGAGGAGGAGAGTAACAGCTCAGAGACGGAGCGAGAGGACGACGAGGGGATCGTGTTCATTGCACGAGCCACCGACGAGGTCCTGCAGGGAAAGAAGACTCCTGGTAGGGATCAGCATTCCCACAGTGGGCAGGGGAGCAGCCACCATGTAGTTTGTCTTTCTCCCAGCTGGGGAGTCAAGCTGCCCTCGGTCTGGGCAAACCAAAGTCAGGAGAATAGGGGAGAGTCGCTCTCCTCCATAGCCCTGAGGGCACTGCAGAGCCTCCATGGGCTTCCTGGCTGCATCCTGAGTCATCTGAAGTACCATTGGTACTTCAGGCCAAGCAGTGTTTGCGGGGCCCAGGGAGAGAGCAATATCCCTCTCACTGTCCTTCTTTCTGCATTCCCAGGCAGCCTGGATGTCTGTCCCAGCCCTTGCATCATCCCTCCATCACCCACCCTGGCAGAGAAAGAGCTGCCATGGAAAGGAGACCAGGCTGATCTGGCTGTTTATGTCTCCTCGGAAACCACCAAAATCGTGCCGGTGGATATGCAGAAAGCGTGGAACCAAAGCATCTCCTCCCTGGAAAGCATCGCCTCTCCACCAGGCATTGAGACGGGACCCCAGCACAAGAGATTTACTTGCCCAGTGCTGGAAGAGCAACCCCCATCTGCCAGCCAGGTGATGGCAGAGCAGAGCTCCTGCTTTCAATTCCCCAGCCACGTCTCGAAGAGCAGCAGGTCACACAGTGACAGCAGTCCAGATGGCACCGAGCAGCAGGAGCTGCAGCCTTTGATGGCTGCAGAGGAGCCAAGCAGGATAGTGTCCTCTGCAGAACCCAGGTGGCTCATCCAGTTCAACAGAGCGAGCCACCTTTGAGGCGGGCTGCAGATGGTGAGGGCATTAGGATGCTGCAGAGAGGCTGCAACCTGCTGATTGCTCTGCTGTCTTGCTGTGTAAAGCTTGTGTATGTCTCCGGAAACTCCCAGAGAGCCAGGAGATCCTGGTACTCCTGCTGGAGCTGTGCTCCACGCTGGCCTTGGCCTGCACACCTACCAGAGTATGTGGATGAGCTTCGTGCAGCAATAGCGGGTACCATCCACCCAAGGAGGTGCAGATGCAAAACTCTTTCTCTGGTCCTTACAATCCTTGAAGCCCTGGGAGGTCAGAGCTGTCCCTCTTCCAGAGCCCAGATCCCAGCTGGAATTGATTCTGCCATGGCTGCGCCACCCCGAGGAGTGAGGGGTCCTGGCTGACAGGCTGTGATTGCTCACAGGTATTAGTGCACAAGCTGATTTTCCAGCCTGTCCATGCATAGGAGACCTCCGAGGCAGAGGGCAGGGAGTGGAGGCCAGTGCATGAGAGACAGCCCATCCCCATAGAGTGACCAAGCCATTGGCTTCAGTGCCAAGAGTTTGTCTCTTTTTCATGGCAGCTCTGTGTTCCCCGTGTTATGGATGTACCACGGAGGCAATGCCTTGACCTTCTCAGGACTGGGAGCTGCGCTCCTGGGGATCGGCTCCACCAGGAGCCACACTCCTGAACACATACGCACAGGGAGTCTCTTAGCACCCAAATGCTGTGCCCACCTCACTTCTTTGGTCTGGATGTGCTCCCAATATCTGCTATTGTTCAGCTCGATGGCTTTGATGGGAGGCAGCTGCCCTGCATGGTATCCTGAAAATCCATCCTGCCTGCATCCCAGTTCCTCCAGCTACCTGGAGCCCATCAACCAGGAGGGCCACTTGTGGTGTGAAGAGGGGAGCAAGCAGGACAAGCAGCAGATACGAATGTACATTGGGAGTGGGTGCGAGAGGGAAGAGCTGAGAGCATCCTTGAGGTGGACATGGTCCTAGGAGCGAATCATTCCTGGTCTGACCCCAAGGAGCAAGAACTGCACCCCAAGAACTGCTGGGCACATGAAGGCTCAAGCACAGCAGTGTTCATCCTGCCTGTACCCCAGTTCCTCCAGTTCCACGAGCCCATCAGCCAGGAGGGCTGACTGCGACGACGAGGGGATCATGCAGCAGGTACGAACGTACATTGGGAGCAGGGAAATCCAGAGAGCTGAGTATGTCCTTACGGTGGAAATGGTCCATGTAGGTTCCCCAACCCTCTGATGTTGGCTCAGGCCATGGGGGCTCCTGTGCCCAGCTGCCGTGCTTGAGCTTCCCTGTGCCAGCCTGGGCCAACATGAGAGCATCAGGGCTATTAATGCCAAATTTTAAGCCCATGGGGCTGCTCCCAGTGGAGCAGGTAAATAAGTACTTGCTCCAGTCTATTTAGGGGGCCTAAGACAGCAGCTATTGTGGGGACAACACAACGTTTAGATGTGATCAGTCGGCACATCTACTGGAGCCCAGCATGGGGCAAGCGAACTGGTGGTACCCTCTGGTACTCTCAGCAAGACTCAGCAAAGGCCATTCTGCTCTGTACCTGTCCCACCAGCTTGAGTGCAAGGTTTTTGGAAGGTTTTTATATAGTTTTGCATTTATTGTATGCCTTATTCTGGTTTTGATTTCTGATATTGGGCCATATTAAATCCCTCGCTGGATCAGTGTTTTCTGTAGCCATGGGCACCACAAATGACTCGAGGCTTATCTTATTTGCAAGAATATTGTTTTAATGTGAAAATATATGCAGACTATTTTGTAATGTTCAATAAATCGGAGTTGGAGCAGGTGTCACCGTCTGGCCTCACTACTACCTAGGAACATTTGACATCTTTCTTCTGGTTTGGTTCTTGCTCACCACATCCTCATGGCTCTCTGCTCTTCTCCCTAGGACACAAAGCCCCTCACAGATTTTATGTGCCTAATTAGCTTTCCTAGTTCAATCATGTTGGCAGAAAATGCAAAATTCTTTCCAAATAAAAGCTTACTTGCAGCCTTGCTGCAACAGCCAACCCATCGTTAGGTCATCTCTCACTGCAGCATCCACCAATGCCACCAACCCAACCCCAAGAAAACCTTTTCCAGCTCAGACCAAGTTGTTGGGCAGTTGCATCTGTCTATGCTGAGAGAGAGGCTGGTAACTTCCCCTGCTCTGTTAGACACACTGCTCCTAAGAGAGCACCAGATGTGGTTTACCTAATTCACAGGATCAACGTTTTGCTCATATTCAACTTGACATCTTCAGTTCCCGCTCTGAGGATCTTTGTGCTGCTCCCAGCTGAGCCCATTGCACCTTCTGAGTTTTCCCACCATCACGGTGATGCTGGCCAAGGCGAGCCTGGTGAACTGGACCTTCATGCTGATGCCTTGTCACAGGAGTGGCCCCGACTACAGCAGGTGGCGCCTGTGAGTGCCACTGGTCACAGTCATCTGGGGTGTCCCCAGCCTACAGGTACCACCCTGCAGAGCCCAGGGGACAGAGTCGTGAGAAAATGAGATGACACTGCATAAGCTCCCAGCTCTGATAGAGCATTGGGAAAATTAGTCATCAAAAAGTAAAACAAGGGAGTTGAAGGGAATAATGAAACCTGATTAAAGATAATTCAGCTTCCCATTGGTTTAAGCTGCTCCTTTGAGGGGAACAACGGGAACAGCTATAAAAGGTTAATGCTGACCTATATGGGGTGGACTCTGCTTTGGCCAGCTGGATCTCCATACAGTGGAAAGGACATACCTGCACAGTGATTCCTCCATGACGTGGAGGGATCAGAATCCATAAGACAGCAACTCGGTTGCAAATCCAAAGCACACATGGACTTGTATTTTAATTAGTGCCTGGCTATAGCGAAGTGAGTGGAAAGATGGCAGTGTAGGAGGGAGCAACGAGTACTTATAACTGGCAGCTGTGCTGCACATGGAATCCTTGTTCCTTTATGGACCCCCTTAAGTTACTGAACACCCAAAATAAACTTGGAGGCAGCACCATTCTTGGTGCCACATCACACCCCTTAACCCTGGTGATGCACAAGAGCACCTGTGAAGGTCAGGTTGCTCTGCTGGAAGGAGTCAGTTCATGACATTGAGGTCTTCAGAGGAGGTAAAACAGATGTCTTGACTTTGGGAATCACTGGGCCTGGCTGCTGGTGGTGCCTCACGCTGTTATTTGAGCCTAGCAGCTAATGTATTTAAGCTGTGTGGCTGGCTTAGGGAGCAGCCTGCAGAGCAGATTTCCCTGCAGAGATTTTGAATGTGCTGGTTCAGATGCAGCTCCTGGCTGCCCAGGTTCCTCTCAGGCTGGGACATCACTTCAGGCTGTCTGTGGCACCATCCAGCAACAGGTATGTTGGGGCACCCTCCTCTCACTCTCAATCCAAGCCATGTTGTGGCTGCTTGGCTGCCTTCTGTGGATGGCAGGTCCTGCTATACCCTCCCAAAAGCTTTTGTATTTACTCTTCTGACTCCAGTCTATTGCCCTTTACCAGGACAGCTGGCAGGCAGGGTCCTGACTGCAAAGGACTGCCCTGATCCTTCCAGCACAGCACAGATCTGCTTCTCCCAGCCTAAAAATACTTCCGTGCTTCAGTGGAAAAACACCAGAACCAGGCCAAACCACGAGAACATGTGCCCAAACCTCTACTTCTCCGAGAAGGAGTAAGCCTTAACCAAAGGAGTTGCTTGTCAGACTGCAACCCAGAATGTACAACCCTCTGACTGCTATTAGAAGCCATCCCATCCCAGAGCAGCTTGAGCACTGCAGACCTGTTATTTTGCACAGAGTCCTCCCTCCTTGTTCTGCCATTAGGTCTGCACATTTTTTCCATAGTGATTTATTTTCTCCAGGGCTCAGCTCCTCGAGTTTCTCCACAGTACTTGCATCGTGAAGTTAGCAGAGTGACTACATAAGGGCACCTTGGTAGCAAGGGTATCAGCTGGAGCTTTGCTCCTATAGAGAGCCAAGCTGTGGGCAAGGCTTGGGTTGCTGCCAGCCATCTCAGAATGTCACAAGTCTGCTAAGAAGCAGCATTGTGCAGTCATCTTAAAATGATGGCTTGTCATTGCACAATAAATGTTGGAATATTGAAAAAATGTTAGGCTGGAAGGGACTCAGGCTCTATGCAGGGCTGGCTGCAAAGCTCAAACAGGTGCCTCAGAGCCTCGTTCAGCTGGGTCTGGGAAGTCTTCAAGCGCAGAGATGCCACCATCTTCCCCATCCCACCCAGGACCACACTGCTCTCACATTGAACAATTTTCTCCAAATGTCACATTAGAAATTTCCCTGTTTCTGCTTGTTCTTCTTGCCTGTTCTCCTTGTAGGGATATCCCTGAAAAAAGCTGGGCTCTGGATTCTCTATACTCCATCCTTAAAGTAGTGGCATAGCTCCCCTCTGCCTTTTTTTCTTAGAGCTGAACAAAGCCATCTCTCCGTGCTATATCCATCCCTTTTGTACTAAGGAGCCCAAAACTGTATCAGTGTCTAGATGTGCCTCAGAGGTCCTAAGTCAAGGAGATCATTTCTTTAAGGGCACCAGCCTCACTTTTGACATTGTGCAAAGGTGTTACTCACACACAGGAACTCTGCATGTTTTTTCTTCTGCTCTGTTTCTGGAACACTTTTGACACACTCGTGGAACATTTTCAGGTTGGCCTGTATAAGCACAGGCGGTGGGAAGCCAGAGAATGAGAGTCAAGCTTCTCACCTCCCACCCAGCCTAGCTGTTATGGCAAGAATGAAGCGCGGCAGAAGTGACAACCTTGCTTATGTTTTCATGTGAGAGCAACAGGAAGGCAAATTCAGGAGAATTCAGATGTGTTCTGTCTGATTATATGTGGGCACACGCATTTTGAGGCACATCACTTTGGGTTTTTTCCGTCTCCTTTCTGCTCCTGTCTATCTATCCAAGCATCTTGCTCACTTGGTTTGGTGTCAGTGAGTCCTTCTGCATGTTTCCAAGTCTCCTGGAAGTAATTTCCCAGGGCCCAGAGCATTCGGGACAGGGGATAGACTGGCTGATCTGCAACGGGTATGAATCCTGGTACAGTCTGCAGAGCACAGCTCCCTTCTACCTGTTCAGGAGCTGACCCTTCAGTCCCCTCTGAAGGACTGGTGGATCCTGGAGTGACTCCCTGCAGTGACAGCAAAAGATCAGGAGCTCCATGGAG